ACACACACACACACACACACAAGGGAATACTACTCAGCCATAAAAAATAAAATAATGTCATTTGCAGCAACATAGATGGACCTGGATATTGTCAGACTAAGTGAAGTAAGCCAGAAAGAGAAAGAAAAATACCATATGATATTACTTATGCGTGGAACCTAAAAAATGACACAAATGAACTTATTTACAAAAGAGAAACAAGACTCATAGACATAGAAAACAAACTTAAGTTTACCAGGGGAAGAAGATGGTGGGAAGAGAAATAAATTGGGAGTTCAAGATTTGTAGATAGTAACTACTATATATAAAAAACAAGTTTCTACTATATAGCACAGAGAACTATATTCAATATCTTGTAGTAACCTATAATGAAAAAGAATATGAAAAGGAATATATGTATGTACATCTATGACTGAAACATTGTGCTGTACAGCAGTTGACACAGCATTGTAAACTGACTATACTTCAATTAAAAAAAATAGCATGTGTAATCAAGTTTTGCAAAGTACAGTTCACCCTTGAACACCGTGGATATTTAAACTATGCAGGTCCACTTACACATAGGTTTTTTTTCAGTAACAATCACAACGGTAATACTACATGATCTTCTGTTGGTTGAATCTGCGGATGTGGAGGAACCGAGTTTAGGGAGGACTGGCTCTGTTATTCTTGGATTTTTGATTGTGTAGAGGGTGGGCGTCCCTAATCGCAACATTGTTCAAGGGTCAGCTGTACTTCTGTCTGGCTATCCGTTCAGCCAGCCAACATTTAATCTGAACACATGCCACAAAGATGACTGGAATGGTGTTCTTTTAATGATAATGATAGTTATTTCTAGGTGGTGTATTTGGAGTGATTTCTTTAAAAGCTAATGCTGAAAAAGCTAAAATGTTTCTATTTTTGAGAATGGGGGATTTTGAGAGTGAGAGTTTGAGATGTTCCACTGGGGGGAAAAAAACCTAAAGAAGAAAGTGAGCTCTGTCATTACCTCTGCTTAGAATGACCCATTAGCAGTTTCCCATTACTCCTAAGGATTAAGTAGAAGATCCTTAATGAGACCCCCCAGACCCTGTCCGACTCTCCAGCCTCCCTTAGTGATTTCTGATTTCTAGCCACTTGGGCTCCTTTTCTCTTTGTATTCTACTCTTGCTGCCTGGAGCAGTTTTCTTTTCCTCCTTTTTTCCCCCTCTCACTCCATATTTTCTTTTTCTTTTTTTCATTATATCACAGCTCAGATGTCACTTCTTTGAGGAAACTTTCCTTGACCTCACCTCCTTGTTTAGTTCAGAGCCGTGATACATTCTTGTAGCATCCTGTACTTTTTCTCCATATACGTGTCACACTTACAATCATGCATTTATTTGTGTGGTTGTGTAATGTCACTCATTAGACCATAAGATTCACAAAGGCAGGGACAGTACTGTTTGTTCCTTAGAACCTAGCACAGTAATTGGCAAACAGTATACATTCAGTATATATTAAAATTAATGAGCATTTAATGATGTGCTTGTAAGATGCCATGATCTTGCTGTAACTCCCAGAGGTGAATATTATCATCCTTTCACCCCTTTTACCTGGTTGGGCTTCCTTGTACATCCCATTTGAACAAAAGATCCTGAGGCTAAAAAAAGCTGGAGGGTCTGCACACTCTACCAGGCCACCTTCCTTTCGTGCTGCCTTAACTCAAAGTATATCAACTTTATTTAGGAATTGTTTCCTAACTTTGGCCTGAGACATTCAAGTTCTGCCCTGGCTTGGGTTGACTTTTTTTTCCCTTCCTCCCAGGTGGACTGACCCAGGACCTGAAAGCTGCCTCCAGCTGCTTTCTGATGGCATGTGAGAAGCCCGGAAAGAAGTCTGTGGAGGCCTGCCACAATGTTGGTCTCCTAGCACATGATGGACAGGTCAATGAGGATGGCCAGCCCGATCTGGAGAGGGCCAGGGACTACTACACAAGGGCCTGCGACGGCAGCTATGCCCCTAGCTGCTTCAACCTCAGTGCCATGTTCCTGCAGGGTGCCCCCGGCTTCCCCAAGGACATGGGCCTGGCATGTAAATACTCAATGAAAGCCTGCGACCTGGGCCATGTCTGGGCCTGTGCCAACGCCAGCCGCATGTACAAGCTGGGGGATGGTGTTGATAAGGACGAAGCCAAGGCTGAGGAGCTGAAAAATCGGGCCCGGCAGCTGCACAAAGAACAGCAGAAAAATGTCCAGCCTTTAACATTTGGGTAGTGTGGCCTGCCCTCCTGTGCAACAGGCAGCTTGAGGCTGGCATCTCCTATTTCTAATGCAGCCCTTGAAGGTCAGCCTGCTGGAGCAGGAAGATTTGGGACTTAGTATCGGTAACTCTGGTTACATAGACTCATTGCCCCAGAGTGTTACCTACTGGGATGTAGTCTGAAATGTTTATTTCAGTCAATATTCCTTTATCTGGTCTGTTCTGTGAAGACGTCCACATTTATGGGATTTTGGTTGTCAGATCTCTTGCAGCTCTGAAAAACAGCATACCAGTGAGCCATGGAGACTGGGGTGGGGGGGGTAGGGAGGAGAGACAATGAAGAGGAAGTTGAAAAATTAGCAGCCCCAGGTCCTGAAGGAATCAGACATAATCATCATCATCATTTTGATTGGGAAGGCTTGAAAACATATCTTGGTTTACATAATAGAGGGTTTCAGTAGCTAAGAGCAGTTAAATAGTCATGACTGCCACCCTCTGACTTACGTAGTCATTGATATGGGCTTCCTTTTTGCCTTTAGAGTCAGATCTTCCAATAAATTCAGAGATTGGGAGTTACATATGACATGGAAGTTAAAGGTGGTTATGCTTCAGGGTTGCTAAAAGAGAATGACAGGTGAGCCTTCCTGTAGTGGAGACATTCACATGCTGAAAATCAGCGTCCTCAGTCCGTTCACCTGGCACTGCTTCCCACACTGAGGAAGCAGATTATTCCCAAGGTAATTTCAACTAGGGAATTGTAAGCAAGTGGTTTGTGACACATTTTGTCCCTCAAAACTGAGCCTTTTTAACTGTCCCTGTGAATAAAATATGTTGATTGATTAGTGATTTATGTTGTTAGTGTTTTCTCCAGATCCTGGGTAGGGTAGAGATTATGTTCTTTGTGGTGGTTGGGCCTTTTCTTATGTTTACTTTTTCTGTTATCTTCTTAACTTGTCGCTAGAGGGCGAGCTTGTCATTTTCCTGTTGATAACAGGATCGTTACTTCTGTCACCACTTAATTGTTTTTGGGCTTCCAGTTTTGCAGCTGTCCTAGAAGGAAGGTGTGCTGTGTGAATGAAGGTACTTGTAAGCACAGATTTTCAAGTTGATAGAGGAGGGAGACTTTCCCAAGAGCAGAGAAGAACTTCAAAAAGTGAGTTTATTGTTTAAATGTAAAGTAGCTTTTGTTGTGTTTAACATAAACAGTATAGACCAACAAGCATATGAAGAAATTCTCAGCATCACTAATAATTAGGGAAACGCAAATCAAAACCACATGAAATAATTACTTCACACGCATCAGGATGGATATTATCAAGAAAAGAAAAAAAGATAATGTGTTGGTGAGAATGTGGAGAAATTGGAAGCTTGTACACTTTTGGTGGGAATGTAAAATGGTACAGCCACTATGGAAAACAATATGGTAGTTCCTCAAAAAATTAAACAATTACCATCTGATCCAGCAGTTTCACTTCTGGGTACATAACCAGAAGAATTGATAGGAGGGCCTCCAAGAAATATTTGTACACCCGTGTTCATAGGAGCATTCACAATAGCCAAAAGGTGGAAGCAACCCAAATGTTTATAGATGGGTGAATGGATAAACAAAATGTGGCACATACATACAATATAATGTTAGCCAGCCTTGAAAGAAAGGAAATTCTGACACATCCTATAAAATGGATGAAACTTGAAGTGAAATAAACCAGTCGCAAAAAGACAAATACTGTATGATTCCACTTAGATGAGGTACCTAACCTCATAAATACCTAAACCCTTAGACTGAAAGTAGAATGATGGTTGCCACAGGCTGGGGGGAGGGAGTAATGAGTAGTTGTTTAATGAGTATAGCGTTTAAATTTTACGAGATGAAAAAGTTCTGGAGATTAACTTGAACAAAAATGTGGCTGTACTTAACATCACTGAAATGTAGATTTTAACATGGTTAAGATGGTAAGTTTTATGTGTATTTTACCACAATTAAAAAAACTAAACATTTTTGTTTCTAAAGTGCAGGATTTAAAGTTTTTGATTATAAAGGTAATACGTTCTCATGAAATGCAATTTGGAACATAGCAGAAGTTACCCCTCACTATCCTTTACCACCTTCCAGCATTCTTTGTCCCAATAGTGTTGTTCCACTATTTTTTAAGAATCACATCTTTTCAGTTGAACAATGGGTTTTGTAATTTTGAAGAATTAGGTTAAGTTGATTTTTGGTGGCAGATGTGCTGGGTTGTTTTTTTATGGACCAATTTCTGCCTGAGACCTGTGGTGCTAGCCTTCATCCCATACTGAGATGGGGCTGGGAACAATGGAGTGAGCATTAACAGAGTCCAAATGTTACATTTCACAAAGGTTATTAAAGTGCAGAGAATAACACTATACAGTCCAGCAGGTTCCAAGGTCATTTCATACCCAGGCTGCTGTGAGAGGGAATAGGTTGACAAGAGCCAGCTAGGTTGAGTTTCTCACTTTTATGCAACCTTTGAGGCAAGTTTTGAAAATGAATTTTCACACTCTGGTCACAGCAAGCAATATCATTACTGTCTTCTGGGCAGCAGGCGTTTGAGTCATCATTAGCAACTGTTTCCAACGTTTTTCCTCCATTCCCAGCTTAGGCTGATGGTCTAATGGGGAAGAAGTCTCATAATTGACTGGTGGTTTGTGTTCTCAGTGTTCTCACTAAAATCTCACAGTGCAGTGCTCAGTGGTGTGAGAAAGAAAGGGAAGCAAGAGTCCCAGAGAGGGAGTGGAAGGACGGATCTAGAGATCTGGAGTTTATGTTGTGGGTCATGCAGAGTCACTGACAAGTTTTAAGCGGGAGAGTGAAATGATCACGTTGGGAAATTAGATCACCATAGTGTGGAAAATGGATTAAAGAGCCATGTCGGAGTGAGAGGAGGGTGGAGTCAAGCATGGGGTTGATTCATACTGATTTTGGAGCCTATAAAGTTGAGATGGGGACAAAAACTTTTTTGAGCAGTTTGCTAAAATTTTTTAAATTTAGAAATACTTTTAAAAACACTTTAATTTAGAAACAATTAATTTTAATTTAGAAATATTTTAATTTGTCAAGGTTTTATGAATTGCTTGAAAACTTTTGTGAGGGGCAGCATGGCAGAGGGAAGATGCCTAGCATTCAGACCCTACAGACGCGGGCAGCTCTGGCTTAGTCCGTGAATTACTAAGCATGAGTCTTAAAGAAGGAGACAATATAAATTTGAAACATAATTTTATGTTTTTTAGAAGTATCAAGTAATCATATTGGGGAAAAAAACCGCAAGACTTCTTTGGCTCCCTGACATTCATTTTGCAGTTTAGATCTCTCTTATTTTGAATTGTACATTAGGACTAGGGCGGAGGTGCACCAGACTCCTTCCCGTTCTTAGATGTAAAGGTCTTAACCTGGGTTCGGATCTGGATTTTTACCTTTTATTGGCTGTGTGACCTTGGGCAAGTTACTTGACCTGGGTCTTAATTTTGTCACTTCTCACATGGAGATAACAATGCCTTCTTCTAGGTTGTTAGGAGGGTTAAATAGCAGCTCTTATGATAGAATGATAAATTTCTTAAAAAAGACTTTATGGGATCAGATTTTACAATTAGATAATTGTTTTCTCTTCACATGGCAGTGTTAGCTGTGAGGGAGTCTATCTTTTAAAACAAGCTTTCTTTGCTGCCATTCTTTTAATATCCAGGGATATGATGGGCCTCAGCTCTCTAGGGGTATCCAGGGCATAAAACAGCTGCAGGAGGCTTGGGTGGGGGCCTGCCTCCTGCCCCGTCCCCTCTCTGCTGCCCCAGTGGAGAGAGAGTCACTGAGAAGACCTGCACCTGCTGGGGGCCCAGAGTGGAAACTATTCCCAGCTGGTGCCCCTCCTCAGGCCTGAGGAATGGTGATGGTATTACAGTTTATAAATCAGGCCTCCCCACTGTCTAAAGGGGAAAGGCCAAAATTCTTTCCCCAACATACAAGTCTCCCCACCCCCGTGATACAGTCCCTCTGTATTTAGCCCCACCTTGTTCCTAACAGACTTTTGTTGCAAAAGTAACAACAGAAACACCCAGGCTGTTTTTTACTGCCGTGCTTTTTGTCTTGCTGGCTCCTCTGTCTGGAATGTCCTTCATCTTTTAAGGTTCTGGGAGCATTCCCTTCAAACCCTGGCCTAGATAGAGGCTTTCTCTGCCCACTAGTGCCTCGAATTTCCACCCGTGACAGTGCTGATCACACTGTTACTTGTGTGTTTATGGTCTCCACTTCCCACAAGATTCTGAGTCCCTGGAGAGCAGGGACTTGAGCCTGGGCACATGATAGGCCATCAGTGGCAGCTTGCTGAGATGAATGGCGGAGTGGCACTGTAGCCTCCCGATCACCCCGGGACAAATCAGGCCCACATCCAGGAACCGCTGTAAGGTGCAGGGCTATAATGGTTTTGAAACTGCTTGTCAAGAAAAGCGCCCAGACTGACACATGATGGATCGGTTCCTAGATTCTATTCAGGAAGATGTCTTTTTAAAAAAGATTTTTGAAACAGTGAAGGAAAAGGACCCAGCGCAGGGCCACCTTGGCACCCTCAAGTACATGCTCAGTAACTTAAAGCCAACAAACCAATATTAATATCCTCATGGCTAAAGAATCACAAGTCCAAGTATGTCACTTTTTTTTTTTTTGCCTGGAATGCTAAGAATACCTTTTTTAAAATTCTGAGAGTTAATGTTCTTTGCTCATCATTATAATTACTTGTTTTCCTGTTTGTCTCACTGATTAATGTATGAGGTTCCAAAGGCAGGGACCAAGAATTCTGTCCACTTGTAAATCCTTCAGAGATTTCCTGTCCTTTACAGCAGTGGTGACCTCCTACTCCTCAGTGGGGCACCTACTTAAAGTAGAGATTCTTGGGTCCACCTAGATGTACTAAAAGAAAATCAGAATTTTAAATAAGCAGATTCCAGAAGATTCTTACACGCAGTGGAGTGGGTGACCCACTCAGGTGGTACATAGTCTGAGCGCCTTGGCATCAGGACCTCTCAGGCTGGGCTCCATAGCCTCAGCCGTCTGCACCGTATTCCCACCAAAATGTCCTGCTTTCTTGCTCTGCTTGGCACAAGCCTGTGCGGCTCCTTCTGGTCCTTCAACACTCAGCCCAGATGTCACATCCTCCAGAAAGTCCTCCTGGACCCCCAAGGTCTGCGGCGCTCTGATAGTCCTTGTGCTTCTCACCCTAGTTCTTTTCATGTGGTTTGGGGCGGACTATAAGTGTGTCAAGCACGTGGATTAGGTCCGACTCACCTTTGTTCCCAGGGCCTAGCTCAGGACCTTATAGGTAAAGTACTAAATAAATTTATTGAAGGAAAGGGAAGGGAAGGGACTCGGTGTAAATCCTATGTTCCAGTGGAGCCACTGAGCATTGAAAAGGTAGTGTTTTGATGGGGGGAGGGTATGGTTCAAATGGTAGAGCGCATGTGCAGCACACACAAGGTCCTGGGTTCAGTCCCCAGTACCACCTCCAAAAATAAATAAATAAATCTAATTATCCACCTCCCCCCACCCTCCCCAAAGAAAAAGTAGTGTTTTGGAGAAAAATCTGGATTTGAATGATTTATCTACCACATGCAAATGTGTTATGTTACCTCTATGAGCCCCATTTTCCTTATCTCTGAAGTAGGGGTACTGTTTACTTTTCAGGGCTAATATGTGGTTAAAGGGTTAAATGAGATGAAGTAAGGTGCTTAGCTCAGTGCCTGGCACTTCCTAACTGTGCAGTAAGTCGCTGAGGAACTCTCTCCTGGAAGTGGAACGAGGCTTGTTCCGTACAGCGCTAGAGAACAAAGCTAGGCCCAGTGGATGGAAGCTGCGAGGAGGCAGGCTTCAGTTCACAGAGGTCTGAGTAGAAGGAAGAACTTTTTACCTGACAGAATAGGAAGACGTGGGAGGAGGTGAACTTCTGTCACAGAAATGTGCAAGCCGAGGGTAGATGCTCACCTGTTAGGGCTGAGGCGGCGATGACTGATGCTGTGTGAGGATTGGGAGGTCGGGGTGGGAGTGTGCCCCATGAGGCATTTCCATTCAGCTCCTCTGTATTATTCATTCGACCAACACTGAGAGTCTCCTCTCCTCTTGGCTAGGCTCCAGGTTGGGTGCTGGAGACACAGCTGAATCTGACAGGTTCCCTGTCGTTTAGGAGCTCACAGTCTAAACAGTGGTCTCTTATTGAGCATCTACTATGTTCCAGATGCTCTTATCCTCTCAACAACCCTGTATCTCTGGAAGCTTTTTTTTCACCACAGTTCTAAGTGTATGTATGTGTGTGTGTGTGTGTGTGTGTGTGTGTGTATGTATGTATGTATTAATAGACTTTATTTTTTAAGAGCAGTTTCAGGTTCACAGCAGAACTGAGTGGAAAATACAGAGTTCAC